ATATAAATATTTTTTTTAATTTGTATCACCATTAAAGGTCACATGATATAAAATTTTATTGCATTTTTGAGCATAACTTACAATTTCTGAGTTTTGATATTTTTCCCAAAATTGGCCACGAGGCGCAGCAAGTTGCGGGACTAGGTGACTTGCACCATATAAAAAATTAAAAAATGTCAGATAGACATTATAACAAAAGGAAAAAAGAAGAAGAACAAGGCTCTGATCGTGGGTAAGTGTTGCTTATCGTAAGAATGGTGGTGGTGGTTATTGCAATCGTTGCCCTCTAGTTTACAATAATTAATTATTTCCTTTTTAAAAATAAACAGTTCTTCAAGAAATAGAGATAATAGATACGAGTAAGTATTATTTAAAAAATGGTGGTTTATTGCCATTGTCATTTCTAATTTGATAATAATTATTTTAAGAGCTTTTCTATATTAAGGATCTGACTTCTTTGTATTTATTTAGAGAATCTGATGAACCTGATTCTCCTACTACTGCTACTAATGTCATTAAATTTTTTTCAAATGCGCATGCTCAAGTTTTATTTACTACAATATTGTTTTTAAATTAAAACTGGTTTATTAGTTAATTTAAAATTTTTTCTTTCAAACAGTTTAATGACCATTTTTTTCAAAGAGCTCTTGAAGAAAATGAAAAAGTAAGAATTTACAAAATTCCTACTTATATAACAGTTGCACACTTTGGAGAATAATAATTAAACCAAACCAAATTTATTTTATAGGAAGACAACACAATAATCTCCAATGAATCATCAACAAAAAAATTAAAATCAAAATTATCACCAGCAACTCCTACAACACCATTAACACCATTAATATCATATTTACCAATAACTTCAATAAAAACTATTGTATGTATTTTATTTTAATTTATTGACATCTTCTTAGTAATAGCCTATGTATATACACTAACTCTAGACATTTTATTCTAGGACAATCTTATAGTAAGTACTTTACCAATGGTTTACCATTCAATTAAAAAAATATTTCTAGGTTTTATTTTTTTTATTTTTTTAGATGCCCAATGCAATTTCCACTTCTTATATTGATGAATTTGATCAAGAAGAATTAACAGACGAAGAATACTTTTTAGGGTATGCATAGAATTCTATCAATAATGGTTTATCATTAATTATTTTTATATGTAAAAAAAAATTTTATTTTTTATTTTTTTGAAATAGCCTTTCAGTTGCTGACATAATAAATTTAAGTGATAAAAAAACATTGGCAGATGATGAAATGGTTGCAAAATTAAAAAAAGAAGCAAATTCTAATCCACCTCCTTGTATAAATTCTGCATACCTTAAAAGATGGTTCAATTCAGTATATGAAGTATGTAGAACTGTAATTTTAATTTATAATCTTGATTTATTCTAATTATTATTTACCTTTTTTCCTTTAGAATGACATAGAAAATTCATTAAAAAAACTAAAAAAAGACTTTGATGTAATTGATGGATTTGATACAAGCGAATCAGATCTTATTAAAGACATCATTAGAATAAAACTTTTGCAATTGAGAGCAGATCATGGCAAAATCAATAAGCATATAGATGAAAATACATATACATCTATATTAATTTCAATGGATTTTGAATTTCTCAGATTGCATTTTCCTGGTTTAATATCCTCAAGCTGGTAGGAAAGCAAAAATGCAATTTGTCAAGAATTTTTATTAAATGTCTTATTAATCTTGCTGGCTTTTCTTAATAGGAATGAGAATGAGGTACCTTCTTCAAAGTGGCGTCGTGAGAAAATATATAATGACAGTGATGCAATGGCTCGCAAAGCAGATGGCATATTGTTTAATTACAATTGTCGTGATCAAGAACTTTTCATTTTTGAAAATATTGGCCCTCCAGAAAAAACAAATAACCCAAAATATTTATCTGACAAGTTGAAGTGTTTTAGAAATTGTGCCGACTCTATTTTCAAAACCTTTTATAATGGAAATGGCAATATTAAATATGCTTCAAAATTCTATGTTTTAGCATATATAGTGTATAGTAAGTTTTAGTTGTGATTTTTCCATTTCATTATACAATGCTGCTGAAATGTTTGATTTACTAATCAAGAACCCTCTCTGAAAAAAAAATTTTTTTATATATAGAGACAAAAGGAGAGCTGTTCAGAGTAAATCTGGCAGCTCCAGAAACTTTTGCTGTAGATAAAATAATGGAGATTGAATATCCATTTGAACATGTCAACATCATTAATATAATAAAAGTTATAGAGCTTGTATTCATGGTAAAGGTAATAAATTTTTATATTAATCAAAATAAATTAGAATTGCTAAGACTAAAAGAATTATCAAAAAGCTTTTTGGATTATGGTGTATATTAAATATTATTCATTTTTTATTTGTAGAAAATTATAGAGTTGAACAATGATACATTATATAACTACAAACAATCTTGCATTGACATAGATAAATACAACAAAGATAAATTCATCAAAGTTAAAGAGTGGCTATCTTATGCTAAAACATAAGTTTTTTCATCAATCAAGCATGAATCATCTAAAATTTTAAACTTTTGTTTGAATTGCTAAGTGTATTTATAATCAAAAACTTATATTGATAATAATATTTATTAACAAAAAATGCTAAGTGGATTAATTAAGACTATTTTTAAGTGATTAAGTTTAATATAGTATAGCATTTTAGATTGTGTATATATAATATTATTTCAATAAATTTCAAATATATTAGCATAGTTAAATCAGCATTTGATCAAAAATTAGTATTATAATTTATTTCAAGTAATTCTAATTTTACTAATATTTGCTAAGGTCGGAAAAAAGAAAAAAGTTTTAGTAAATTGGTAAAAACATCAAAAAGCATACTTTGAGGAAAACAATAGATTTTTATAGATTTTAACAGATTATGAAAAAGAAAGTACTATAGTGTTTATTTTAATTGGCATAATAAAAAAATATTTTTTTCAAAGGACACAAAGTATCACGTTAACTCATTTGTAACATATAAAACATATAAAACATATATTATGGGAACAGTTTTATTAGAATTCTCAATTGCTAACAGCTAAGGCTTTTGGAAAATCGTCATATTTATAAAATTATTAGAGGTTTTTAATCAGGAGACATTTCTAGAATAGTGCTATGGAGAGAGAATCTTTGTTTCATACAATTTTTTCAGAAGTTGCAATAGATAGAACTATTATGATAAAGAAAGAAATTTTCTGTATTTCAAATGAGTTTTTTACGCCATTGGTATTTTTACACCATTAATCTTTCCATAGCTCTAAAATATAATGTATATACTACCTTTCATGCAAATTTAGTACTCATGTCTTTGAAGATGGAAGAGGAGTAGTGGTTTGAAAATGAATAAATTATCAGTTGAAATTATTTCTTTAAAACATTGTTGGATATCACTTGAATGTTTATAATCAAAATACAACTCTTCTCTTTTTTTATTCAAGATGTGTTGAGAAATTTTTTCATAATTATTTTCAAATTTATCAATATATGGAACTTGTTGGAAAGAGAGTTCCCAAAGAAACATACAAAACTATAGAATTAATCAATTAATCAATAAATCAAAAAAAAAATTAAACAATGTGCAAATTTTATCTTTACTAACCAACTGAATAGGAAGTTTTTTTCAATTTTTCAGGTGCCGTCCAATGTTCCATTTCGAATCTTTTTCTTCAGAGTCAAATGGTTTACTAATATCTATAAAATTTCTACTCAAAAAAAAAGTTTGCAATTTTGCTGTGGCAACTCCTAGCCCCATAATCTAAAATAGTAATAGTAATAATAACAACTTTAATAATCATTTTACTATTAAGATAATTAAAAGTAAACTTTTTACCAAAATATTTTTGCATCTAACATCACGATGATAAAATTCACATTTATGTAAAAATTGCAGTCTAAGGCAGATATCATATGCAATCTTTAGTTTTTTTTTTCCAAGGAATCAGTTTATTTGTTTGTTATATTCTCCATATACATATTTTAAATTTCCCATATGTGCCCAATCAAATATTAATACACTCTCACTACCAACACATGATGTGCCATGAAATTTTATAATACTATCTGATGAATGTAATTTATTCAAGATTGCTAAAGTTGCTTCCAATTCATCCTTATTATAAAGTCATGCATTAAATGGTACACAATCAACTTGTATAGTTTCTTTTAACATACTTTTCCTCGAACAGAAATGCTATCTGGTTTGGATCTGTTAAATCTTTTTCTTTAAGTTCATCATATGAGAGAGAAATTTTGAACTCGCCTTTGTTTACTTTATGTGCTTCCTTTGCAATCATTTTTGACTGAGGGTCAAGATTTTTAGGATTTTCTGTAAGTTTTTAAAATCCATCTTCAACAGTTTTTAAAATTAATTCAGACTTCTATATTAATATAATAATAAATTCATTAATTTATAATCATCAATCATCATATCTAAATTATTTACTTACCTTTCGAACTGTATCATTCAAATCTTGTACTTGATTGCCTAAATTTTCAATTGACTTGTAATTTTCTATATTGATTGTAAAATCTAAATCCCCCAAAGCTGCATTTAAATAAAGTTGGAGATTATCAACAAATTACACATTATTTGGATTGAAATTTTTATCACCATTTTTAATAAACAGTTCTTAGTTGACTTGTGGTTGTTTCTATTCTTTGACTTATTCCTTCATATTTTTCTCGATTATCTTTAGCATTTTTTACAGAGATTAAGAACTTAGTTTACTAATGTTGAAATACAGCCTAGCAAATTACAACAAGCACCAAATATATCCATTTGATTCATTCATTAAACAGATAGAATAAAACCGTTTTATGATAAATGCTAATTTTAATATTGAGGATTGAGCGCAACGTGTCACCAAAGTTATGACGGTCATGTGAAATTTGGTAATCAATTGTATGACAATGACATGACAAGTCGCTCCCAAACTATTACATTTTATGGTAAAACGGGGAGCCGTGCATTGTAAATAATTTAGATATGATGATTGATGATTATAAATTAATGAATTTATTATTATATTAATATAGAAGTCTGAATTAATTTTAAAAACTGTTGAAGATGGATTTTAAAAACTTACAGAAAATCCTAAAAATCTTGA